TTAAGAGACTTGAAGAAAAGTGGGAAACACAACTTTCCAGAAACAGTTCTGATCTAGCTCTAATTTTTCCAGTTGCTGGCCATTTGTTTAGTTGTGAAGGCAGTTTTTGACACAAAATAAACATAAAATACGAGAGATTAATATATGCTGAGTTTAATCAAGGCCAGATATATCAGGACACTTTATTTCATAAAATGATTAGGACTACTTATAATCCTCAGAATATCAAGGATCTAGTTTCATTATTTACAGAAACGGTTGTTTGATAAAAACAAAGAAAAATACGTTACAATTTTTTTTTAGTTAATTCAAGATTTTTCAAATTTGTGCTGAAGGTTGCTGAAGTAATAAATAGGTGATCCGGTGTAGTTATAATGGGAATGATATCTTTATAATTTTGAGTACAATTGTTTCGTTTTTTTGGTGCGACGGATTGGTTATTTTTTTCCCCTTGTCATCCCACCCCTAACCAAGAGGGTGTGAGGCTTAAAACCATTCTGACCTTCTTCCACCCCCGGAGACCGGGGCGGTTTCTGAGGTTCGTGTTGCGTCCGGGGGTGGTGTGTGCGCGCGCGTGTGTGAGTGTGTGTGACCACAGCGGTGGCAACAGGTAGACCCTTTACACTTGTCCGAGATGTTCTACAGGAAACTCACACCCTCGAGGGGTGGGGGTCGCCTTTAAAATAATGCCCCTTTCCTTCCTCGATGGGGGCTTTTGGTGAGAAAAGCGCCCGTTTCAACAAACAACTGTAGAAGTAAGAAACAAAACAAAATTAACAAAAAATAATAAACAAACCATTCATAATTTTAAAAACCACGTACAACACAGCTAAGAACATTTTTGCTTTTTTTTTAATCATTGATTCAATCCAGACGCAGCTGCTATGCAAAACAGGGCACGGGTCAAGTAAAGAAAAAGGGTTAAACAGATTTGAATAAAGGGGGACAAACATTTTGACAAGGCTTTTGAACAAGTTATTCAAGGTAAACAAACCTCTCAGGGATAACTTGGCTCCGATGTATCTCTTGTCAAGTTACAATTGATTAAATCCCACCGCTAAAATCGAAATTAGATCAAAAAGAGTCAGATCGAATCTTAAACATTTTTTTTTAATTGTTTTACATACAAATTGAAACAGAAACTGCCAAGAAAAACGCCGTATATTGAACCGCAACACATATACACTTACAATGACCGGATTTTTCCATGAGCACGTAAAAAAACCACATTTTTTCCCCAAAAAATCGCGAAAATCTCGAAAACGCTTCAAAAATCGGGCAAAGCGGTAGATGACCAATTGCTAGCTTATTAAAATTTCCCATCAATTCCTGTAGGACGCCGATCCAGGACGATTTCCTGGTTCCACAACTCAATTTGAAGTTTTTGCAAAAAATTCAAAAGTTGCTACGTTCTAGAATTTTTCGAATTTACTGATGAATGACTGAATCTAGGAAAACATTAAAAAAAGCCATCTTGTTCAGTGTAAAATTTTCTAAAATGTGAGACCTAGTGCAGGTGTGTGACTTAAAAGGCTGAGAAAATATGAATTTTCGAATTTGGACATTTTTCGTTCAAAAACCAAGTGGTCGTTTTCTTTATTGGCCAGGGTAGTTTGTGATAAATCGGCATTGCCATTCTCAACTACACTGCCACCTAGATCATTAATTAAATTAAATCATTCTATTTAAGCTTAGAAATCATTTATTTTATAGTTAACATAATCAAATAAACACAAAAATTAAAATATTACAAATAAATCGAGTACACATTTTTAACATCGTTTAAGTTTATTTATTTTAGCTCTGATTCCAACCTCCAGCCGTCATATTTTTAATTACTATTTTAATACTATTTGATGTTAATTTATTGAAAAAAATTATACAATAATTTTTATAAAAATGTATTATCCATTGAAATCGATGGAGGAAATTTCAAAAGGAATAAAATTAGGGCAAATCGAGAAGGTCTTTGAAATATAAGAAAAAAATGAGAACCAAAAGCTTATCGTCGATGTCAGGCATTGTGTTGATATTTTATTTTATCGCTGTTTCCACAATCTTTAGCAGCCCAATTGATTTTTATTTTTTATTAATGAATTAAAAATCAGATTATCAGAATATAAACAACTTTTTCAACCTATACGGGGTGATGTTTCCGGATGGCTGCTGGTCTTAAATATAAATTTAAAAATTTAAAATCCGATTGGACCATTGTTTTCAGCGTAACAAATCTTTTAAAACGATGTGCTAGGGTTGTATTTGAAATTTTTATGTTGACCTGGGCCTGAGGTACCCTGTATCATTTTTCTCCAAAAAAAGGTAAAAATTTGAAACTAGACTAAAAAATATTAAACACGGATTTTTCGTATTTTTGATAACGTCATTAGTTCAAGAGAAATTCCGCTGGTACAACTAAAAAGTCACAATAAGTGAAAATTTGCTATGAAAATTCCGCGGGGAAAAATATGGCAAATCGTACCCTGCCAGCTAGATCGTATTAATAGTTGAAAACATCATATAAACTATTATTTATATACAGAAACTTCAATATTAATCGTATAGTTTGACTTTTGACAAATAAAATAATAAAATGAATCGTCGATATCATTTGTGCTGATATTTTATTTCAACGATCTTTCCATAACCTCCAGCTACCTAAATTGATTTGTCTAATTTATTATTAATAGTTAAAATATTCTAGTAGAAAAATGTTTAAACCTATAATCTTTGAAATTGACGGGAAAATTTTCAAAGTGAATAAAATTGAGAGAAATCGAAAGAGCTATGTAAACCTACACTGCCACCTTGATCATTAATTGAATTTGAATGTAATAGTTAATTTTCCACAACCATCTGCTGCCCAAGTTGATTTATATTTTTGATAATTTAAAATCAGAGTATGCAAGTCGAAACATTTTCAACTTATATTTGTTGAAATGAGGGAGAAAATTTCGAATGGAGTAAAATTGAGGCAAATCGAAAGGGCTATCTAAACCTACACTGCCACCGAGATTATTAATTAAATTGGCATATTTTATCGGTCAGTTAAAAAAACATTATCTAAATTCCAATTATTAAACAAAACCATTTAAATACAACTCATAGATTAAGGTCTTTGACGTCTACAAAAATACATAAACATAAAACCATGCTAGTCAAATAATCTGTATAATATATATGATCTAAATAAAAAATATATTATTTTAAAAAACCGTAATTAAAACAACTAATTTTTTGAGAAATGACAACCAAGATAAGTCCTTTATTACTTATATTTAATATTTACGTATATTCCGTATATTTGCCAAAATTGAAAAAATTCCTACTTAAATGTACTTTTGTTGATATTTATCAAAAATTTTAGAAGGTTGTTTTTCCTTTTTCAGCCTTATTTTTGTAGATTCAAAACTAATAACTGTACTATATATCATTTTTGAAATATATTCTTCATAAAATTGACGTCATGCCCATGTCGAATTTCCTGTAAGTGTAATCGTTACTGTTCAAATTACAAAATCACCTACAAATATTAATGCCTTTTTTAATATAAAAAAAGTGTTAAACAAAAGGTAAAAATCAAGAAGATTTTATCCTGGAAGAGATAATATTACACAATAAGACGAAGAGCTTGTAGAGGTCAATATTGACTCCAAATTCTGCACAAGCTTCACTGATCATTTAGATTCTTTTTGAAAAACAATTTTTTTCCTTACTTTGACTATTTAAAACGTGGTCCTGTGGTTAATTTCTTACACTTATTAGTCGAATAATTTTATGTAAAATCATTATTTCTTATTTTTTATGTTGGTGGAATCCTGAAAGGTATGTAGTTTTTATTTTTATTATTTTTGTAAATGTATTTGCAAATTTTAAACGTTTTTGTAAAGCATATTCTCGCACATTGTTCAGGAAAATTTAGGATAAATGGGTATTCCGAAAATATCTTTATTTTCAATCCAGCCAAAAACTTTTGCAGAATCTTATTATCAGATCATTTTGAAAGACCATACAGAATTAGCTTTATTCTCACTTTTTCCTACTTTTTCATCTCTAGACATTTAAATGGCGTCGTGTAATTAATAAATTCACCGGTTGCTATAAAAGGCCGACGACGTCAAAACAGCAAACTCGACCAATTGGCAGGTGAAAACCAGTACTAATCTCCATCTCCTTCTTCCATCGACTGGAAAAATATAGACATAAACGTATTTTTTTTTCATCCGGCCTGTGTCTTAAAGCTCTTTTTAACGGGATTTCAAAACCGGTATCTTTGAAATGTCTTGATCCGCAAAACGCTTCTTACTATGCAAATGCGCGTTAGCGGCTCTCCGAGTGACAAAGTTTTTACGCCTCAATTATTTTCGAACAGATTGGCTTATTTTCTACAGGAAAAACTGAACAGAGAAAAAAAACTACCATGGAGACTTTTCGTAGGCGGTGATCGATCAGGCTATCAATCATAACAAGTTAATCATTCTTTCCTCCATTGTCCTATTAATTAGTCTTAAAAATTAATTGATTTATCGATAAAAATTAGTTCCTTTTCAAATGAATGTATTGTTTTCATAAGTGGCTCTATTATACGTCAAATAGCCGAAAAAAAGATTAGAATAATCTTGAAAATCTTTTAGAAAAAGTTAACATTTTTAGATGGAAGTGAGACTTAAACAGACCAGTTTAACAGATAACTATGTTAAAACTAAAGAGATTTTTTATCATTACGCATCATCAATAATATCTCCTTTTTAATTTTCTGTATTTTATCTTATTGCTACTTCTTTTTTTCTTCTCTCTTACATTATATCTGTTGATCTTTCTCTTTTTTTATTTGTGTGTTTGCTAGACTTTCTCTCTGTTTTTCTTATTCTTTTATCTGAATCTTTCCCTTCTTTCTTACTTTACTGTCTATTTATCTATGTATATTTAACTATGCTTCTATCTCTCCATCTATCTATTTTTCTACTAACTAGCTCTATTTCGCTTCTTTGTTTTTGTGTAGCTCTCCCTGTTTATTTATAATCTATGTATCCATCTATTTACTTCCCATCATCCTTTCCCACTCGCTCTATCTCCCATTCCTCATTCCCTATTCTTTCTATCTCTCTTTATTTATCGATCTATATATCCTACTATTTGTCTACCTCTACTTACTTCTGCCATTCTTCTCTCCTTGTGGCTCTCTCTCTCTCATTTTCAATTTTTCTATACCTCCATCTCTCACGTTTTCTTTGTTTCTGCTATGTCCTACACTTTTCCTCTCTCTCTCTCTCTCTCTCTCTCTCTCTCTCTCTCTCTCTCTCACTCTCTCTCTCTATCTATCTGTCTACCAATCCATCTACCTATATCTCTCTCTGTATTATCTTTTCTTTATTTTTTCTTTGTTCACAATCTTTCTATCTTAGCTTCCCTTTGACACTCTTTCTCTCTCTCGCTCACTGTCTCTTTTCTCGTTCTATCTCTCCCTCTTTTTCTCACTCACTCACTCATTTTTTGATTGTAAGACAGGTCTTTTATGATATGATATGACCTAAATCTGCGAGTTTTAATTCAATTCAATTCTTTTTTTCTCGCTTCGCAAATAAAGAAAGAATTCTTTATGTTACTATGTCATGGTTTTTCTGTAGCTTGCTCACTTTCACTCTCACGCTCTCTCTCTTTCTCCCTCTCGCTCCCCTTTTTCTTCCATTGACTCTCTCTTCCTTCCTTCCTTTCTTTCTTTATTTGCACTTTTTCTCCCGTTGGCTCTCCCTCTTTCTTTCTTTCTCTCTCTGCCGTTTTTCTTCCATTGACACTCTCTCTGCCCATCTGTCTGTCTGTCTGTCTGTCTGTCTGTCTGTCTGTCTGTCTGTCTGTCTCTCTCTCTCTCTCTCTCTCTCTCTCTGCCGTTTTTCTCCCATTGACACTCTCTCTTTCTTTTTTCCCTCTCTGCCCTTTTTTCTGCCATTGACTCTCTCTCTCTCTCTCTCTCGCTTTCTTTTTTCACTCTTCCCCCCTTTTTTCCTATTGACTCTCTCACACTCTATCTCTCTCCATTTTTCTCCAAATGACTCTCTCTGTCTTTCTTTCTACTCTTTTTTCCTTATTTTTCTGTGTCCTTTTCACTTTCGATTTATTTTAGCCTTACACATTCCCTCATTCGCTCTCTCTCTTTCTTTTTCGCTATCTCTCTCTCTCCCTCTCACTCCCTCTCACTCCCATTTTTCTCCCATTGACTTCCTTCCTTTATTTCTATCTTTATCTGCACTTTTTCTCCCATAGACTCTCCTTCTTTCTTTCTTTCTCTCTTGCTGTTTTCTTCCATTGACTCTCTGTCTGTCTGTCTCTTTCTCTCTCTATCTTTCTTTCGCTCTCTCTCTCTTCCTCTGCCATTTTTCTCTCATTGACACTCTCTCTTTCATTTTGTCTCTCTCTGCCCTTTTTTCTCCCATTGACTCTCTCTCTTTCTTTTTTCTTTCTTTCTCCGCCCCTTTTTTCCCATTGACTCTCTCTCTCTCTCTCTCTTTCTCTCTCTCTCTACTCTCTCTTTCTTTCTTTGTACTCTATTTTCCTTATTTTTCTGTGTCCTTTTCACATTCTATTTATTTTAGCATTTCCTCATTCACATATTCTCTCATTCACTCTCTCACTCTTTCTTTTTCGCTTCTCTCTCTCTCTCTCTCTCTCTCTCTCTCTCTCTCTCTCTCTCTCTCACTCGCTCGCTCACTCGTTGATTGTACGAGATCGATATGGCCTAAATCTGCGAATTTTATAAATAAAGCGTTTTAATTCAATTTAATTCTCCCGTTCTAGTTTCGGAAATAAACCATAAATTCTCTATGCTACTATCTCACTGTTTTTCTCTTTCTTTCTTTCTATCCATCGATCTACCTAACTACCTATATACCTATATATATTTCTCTCCTGCTCTTCTTTTTATAAAATGTAAAATTAAAACATGCAACCCTGAGCTTGTACGTGTCTGAGCTTGAGCATGGATGTTGTTGACAATTGTCCTTTCCTGCTCTTAAAAGGTTTGTGGATGCGGTTTAACGTCAATTGTCAATATTTCCTCTTGACAAAAGAAGATCGCAATTATACAAAAGGGAAACTTGTATGGGTGCTAGACGAGGAATCGAAGCGTTGTCCCCCCTCACGGTTTTTTAATTATAATTTAACGGAACTGCCGGTCTTGTGGGAACCGATATTAAACGCCAATACGGTTCTATTTTTCCGCCGGGGCCTTTTCACCGGCCCCTTTTAAGCCCCTCGGCCTCCGAGGGTCTTCCTCAGGGGTGACAGTCTCAACGGTTGATTTAACAAGACATTGTCGCTCTAATTCAATCAATTACAGAACCTCTTCTTCAAGCCGGTGTTTCCATGATCGATCAGCAACCGATGAACTCGGCAAAATGCTTAGGATGTCCACGACCAAATTAAGAAAAGTCGTATCCCGTTTTGTACAAATTTTCAAATAAATATAATCGGGTATCTTTACAGTTATTTTTTTTTTCATCCAGGCAGGTCATAAAGGCTAAAAATAAACCATTTTATGATCAGTTTTAATGTGGTATTTGAGTAATTAAAAGGAAATTGGGTTGGACTGATTATTATTAAACTTCCTACTGGTTAGCTGAGTTTTTTTTTCTTTCTAATTCTAGCACACTTCAGATACAGGAGAAATATTTCTTCAGGGTCTAAATATAAACCGCCACTAATAGACTTATTTCATGCTTCAATCACTCTCGGGCCGGTTTCGTAATCGGCAGGATTAAAGTGTCCCGATTAACAGCTTCGGATCCGTCTGATGGCGTTTTATGCTAATAGCGGCCCGCAAGGTCTCGCCTTGCACCCGGCCGAGCCGATTTCGCTGCAAGTTGCGTACAAGGGGACGCGTGTGCGCGGAGTTCCCTTTTTTTTTCTCTCTCTCTCTCTCTCTCTGATGTAAATTTTTATCCAGCACGTTCCAAAAAGCAGCAGCTGATATGCTAAGCAGTTCTTGTAATGAATGGGATCTTTTTCGCTTACCTGAGATTATTCAGATCGCACGGGCCCGTTTTTTGAATTCGGCACATGGATAAGTGACAGTTGGCGACATCAGAATACCTTTCTTACCAACTTATACTTCGAAAGTAATCAGTGAACTCATCATCACGAAACCACTGCATATGCCTGTAGTCGAACTACAAAGTTTTTTTTATCATCCTGACCTCTCTGTTTTCCCTTTCTGTGGAAATGTAGTTCAGCACGTTATCTTTCTAAGATTTATGATACATCATGATTTGATCTACCGTAGAAGATGTACAAAGGCTTCTCACATGTCTAGCTTTTTTGAATTTTCAGAGCCTCTAACGGCATACATCCCTGACAAGGAGACATACAAGGATCTTATTTAATCTCCCATTATCCATATTTCTCAAACGAAACCTCGGAAAAAATTCATTTTGCACCACACTGCGGTCACAAATCGGTAAGATCCGAATTATCTGCATTTTAATGCTATGAATAAAATTGTCCCATCTGCCCTTGGGTTAATGTATGTAGCTCGTGGACGCGTGTAAATATTAAAATATGCAAGGAGAAGCGTGCCTTTGGCTAGGGGACTTTTAGAAAATGAGCTCACGCACATTATCACATCCCATGGGCCTAATCATTGGACTCGACTTGTCAATTTACATAAAAAGTTTTTTTTTTTACTTTGTTGTCCCAACTGTTAATTTGCAATTAAGGTGACATATTTCAATTAGAACATGTCAACAGACACGAATTTTAAAAATGGGATTTCTTAATCAGTGGTGATGATTACATGGAAAATATTACATTGACTCTCTCTCTCTCTCTCTCTCTCTCTCTCTCTCTCTCTCTCTCTCTCTCTCTCTCTCCCTTACACAATGTCATTCATAACTAGAAACGATGGGACATAATAATGATCATATATGACAGTAAATTGATAGGAAATCAACCATTTTAACCTCTCTTATTGTAATACACTGTCAGGATCTCTTCTCCCAATTTGCCTCTTATTCACCCTCTCACTTTTCCTTTTTTACTCTCACTCAACATCTGGCATAAATTACGAACGATGGAAACTCTTAATTAAAAAACGGTATATTTATAAGAAATATTGTTCCTATCTCTCTATATCTGTCAAAACTGTCAGGCTCTCTTCACTCAAATGGTTTCTCATTCTCTCTCTTTCACTCTCTCTCTCACTCTCTCTCTCTCTCTTTCTCTCGTTTTTACACTATTAGGTACGGTGGAACGTCTCAATGATAAAAAAAAAAAGGCGGCTAATTTCTAAAAAATCCAATCGTTGTCCCTGTCTCTCTTACTCTAATTATCTGTCAGGCTCTCTTCACTCAAATGGTTTCTCATTCTCTCTCTCACCCACTCTCTCTCTCTCTCTCTCCCTCTCTCTTTCTTTCTCTCGTTTTTACACAACTAGGTACGGTGGAACGTCTCAATGATTTAAAAAAAGGCGGCTAATTTCTAAAAAATCCAATCGTTTTCCCTGTCTCTCTTACTCTAATTATCTGTCAGGCTCTCTTCACTCAAATAGTTTCTCATTCTCTGTCTTCTCCTCTCTCTCTCTCTCTCTCTCTCTCTCTCTCTCTCTCTCTCTCTCTCTCTCTCTCTCTCTCTCTCTCTCTCTCTCTCTCTCTCTTCTCTCTCGTTTTTACACAATTAGGAACGATGGAACGTCTCAATGATGAAAAATACGGCTATTTAAAAAAAAAAGTTGTCCCTGTCTCTCTTACTCTAATTATCTGCCAATTTGTCAAGCTCTCTTCACTCAAATGGTTTCTCATTCTCTCTCTCTCTGTCTCTCTATATCTTTCTTTCTCTCTCTCTCTCTCGTTCTTACACAATTAGGAACGATGGAACGTGTCTATGATCAAAAAAGTCGGCAAATTTCTAAAAAATCCAAACGTTGTCTCTGACTCTCTTAATCTAATTATCTGTCAGGCTCTCTTCACTCAAATAGTTTCTCATTCTCTCTCTTCTCTCTCTCTCTCTCTCTCTCTCTCTCTCTCTCTCTCTCTCTCGTTTTTACGCAATTAGGAACGATGGAACGTCTCAATGATCAAAAAAGACGGCAAATTTCTAAAAAATCCAAACGTTGTCTTTGACTCTAATTATCTGTCAGGCTCTCTTCACTCAAATAGTTTGTCATTCTCTCTCTCTCTCATTCTCTCTCTCTCTCTCTCTCTCTCTCTCTCTCTCTCTCTCTCTCTCGTCCTTACACAATTAGAAACGATTTAACGTCTCACTGATCAAAAGACGTCAAATTTATAAGAAATCCAAAAGTTGTCTCAGTTTCTCTTACTCTAATACTCTGTCAAGCTCTCTTCACTCAAATCGTTTCTTATTCTCACTGTCTCTCTCTCACTTTCACTTTCTTACTCTCGTACGTCTGTCAAAATTAAAAGCAACGGAACGTCTTTATCATCAGATATGACGATAAATTTATAAGGAATCCAAATGTGTTGTCACTGGCTCTCTTATTCTCGATCCCTACCTGGCTCTCATTCTCATTGTCACTTTCTCTGTCTTGCTTCTCAATCTCTTGAATCATTATAAATCGTGAAATATCACAATGATAAGATATGACCGGTAAATCCATAAGAAATCAAAGAGTCATCCATGCCTTTCTCACTGTCCTGGCTCTCTTTTCTCAATTTGTCTCTTATTTTCTATATTAATATTTTGGTTTTGTTCTCATTTCTAAAACAATTACGAACGATGGCACAACATAATGATCACAAATGACGGCAAATGAGAAAAATCGAAAGGCACTCTTTTTCTCAATATTGGCCTTTCTCTCTTCTCTCAGTTATCCTTGCAATTCCCAATTTTTCTCTGTTATCACTCGGCGATTTGAATTGTTAGGCATGATAGAACATCATAATGATCAGACATGACGGCAAATTCATAAGAAATTAACAAGTTTTCCCGTCTGCCTTTCTTATCTTACTTTTCCTCTCAATCTCTCACTTACTCTGTATCTCCCCTTCTTTTCTGTATTCTATCTCAGCGCCTCTTTTTTTCTATAGCGATTACGTTTGACAATGCAAGGAAGACTTAGTTTCATAAGTGTATCGATATATAATTTAACTTAACTAGTATTTACTTAAAGTAAGACATAAAAATTCCTATTTTGCCTGGTGTTGCATTTAAAAATTTGCCCGAATGCAAATGTTAAAAGCAAGTGCATCATTGTTAAGTCGTTGCGTTTCTGATCAGGGCCGTTTGTAATGAATTGTTTGTCTTGGCACGGCCGGTGAAACTTTCCGACTTGCAACTTGGATGGCCTGAGATTGCAAATTAGCCTGGCGCCATTCCAATCGGTCCAAAACTCTGGGAAATACCTTGAAAAAAATCCAAAACGTTTTCACTCTTCAACCCGAGCTTTATGGAAATTCGTGTTGAAAGAAAAAAAATCCCGTACGGTCAGAGCTGCAATTTCAGAGGTAGATTGATTTGATTTTGTTACGTTTTTGTTTTTATCAGCGGAGAATTTTTCCCCCCATCATGAGAAACACGCTCGGTTTCATCCGGACTCTAACTATTCATCTGTACGAGCGTCAATTAAAAGAAATACCGGGGGAAAAAAAGGGCGACAGAGGGTTGTTTGCGAAGGGGAGTCTGCAGACCTTCATATGACAACTTATCGACTCTAAAATCCATAGCAATTCAAAAAGTGCCGATGAATATCATGTTTTAAATTTATGAACATACACCGAAACAATCATACCCAAAGATTAAGAGATGTCAAATGAGTTCAAAATTTCATTTATTTAAAGATCTATCGAATTAAACTCAAATTAGATCATTATTATCATTCATTATGGCCAAAAGAACATTATTCGATACTGAACCAAACAACATACAAAGATAATTCATAGATTAATAAATTTAATTATGTAAAATCAAACGAATTCAGGCCGAGAAGAATAAAACTTCAAAAGAATAAAATGTTGACAAGATTTTAAACCATCTAAAAAACAAAAACAACAATACAAGAAATAGGGAGAGAGAGATGTAAGGAAAGAAAGAGAGAGATATTGGGAGATAGATGGAGAGAAATAAAGGTGAGAGAATGATTGAAAGAGAAAGAAAAATAATGATTGAATGAAGAAAAAGAACTAAGAGGAAGAAAGACAGAGCAAAAAAAGAGACAGAAATTGAGGAAATAACAGAGTGCTAGAAAGAGAAACAGAGGGGGAGAGAGAGAGAGAGAGAGAGAGAGAGAGAGAGAGTGAGTGACAGAGTAGGAAGTCAGAACAGAAATAAAAGAGCGTGAAGGGAAGAGAGAGAAATATTGAAGGGGAAAGAGAAAGAGGTTGTGTGTGTGAGACAGAGATAAACAGAGAGAGAGAGAGAGAGAGAGAGAGAGAGAGATTGGGAGATAGAAACAGAGAAATAAAGAGACAAAAAGAGAAATAGAGAATGATTGAAAAAGAAAGAAAAAAATGATTGAATGAAGAAAAAGAACCAAGAAGAAGAAAGATAGAGCAAACAAAGAGATAGAAATTGAGGGAAAAAGAGAGGGCTAGAGAGAGAAAAAGAGGGAGAGAGAGAGAAAGAGAGAGTAACAGAGGAGGAAGTCAGAACAGAAAGAAATGGGCGTGAAGGGAAGAGAGAAATATATTGAAGGGGAGAGAGAAAGAGCGTGTGTAACAGAGATAGATGGATAGATAGAGAGAGAGAAGGAGAGAGAGTGATTGGGAGATAGATACAGAGAAATAAAGAGACAGAGAGAGAGAATGATTGAAAAAGAAAAAGAATGTTTGGTTGGAAGAAAGGCAGACCAATCAAAGATATACAAATTGAAGAAATGAGAGAGTGTTAGAGAGAGAAAAAGAGGGAGAGAGTGTAAGAGGTGTGGAAGGCATAATAGAAAGAAAAGAGCGTGAAAAGGAGAGAGAAATATTGAAGGGGAGAGAGAAAGAGGGTGTGTGTGTGTGTGACAGAGATAAAGAGAGAGAAATTTTAGAAAAGAGCGAGAGAGAGAGAGTGATTAGGAGATAGAAACAGAGAAATAAAGAGAGAGAAAGAGAAATAGAGAACGATTGAAAAAGAAAGAAAAAAATTATTGGTTGGAAGAAAGACAGATTAAACAAAGAGATAGATTTTGAAGAAATGAGAGAGTGTTAGAGAGAGAAAAAGAGGGAGAGAGAGTAAGAAGTGCGGAATGCATAATAGAAGGAAAGGGAGAGAGAGAAATATTGAAGCAGAAAGCGAAAGTGTGTGTGTGTGTGAGGGAGAGAGAGGGAGTGAGTGCGCGCGCGCGTGACTGAGATTTAAGAAAAGAGCGAGAGAGAGATATTGGGAGTTAGATAGAGAGAAATAAAGAGTAATAAGGAATGAATGAAAGTGAAATAAAAAGGACGATTGTTGGGACAAAGACAGACCAAACAAAGATATAGAAATTGAAGAAATGAGAGAGTGCTAGAGAGAAAAAAAGAGAGAGAGGAGTAACAGAGGCGGCAGACATAATAAAAAGAAAAGAGCGTGAAAGAGAGAGAGAGAGAGAGAGAGAGAGAGAGAGAGAGAGAGAGAGAGCAAGAAAGAAAAAGGAGTAGAATACACAAGGCGAAATAAAGTCATAAAAAGTTAAATTTACATAATTTTAGGGGGAAATAACAAGAAGTAAGACATATGCAGAGAAAGGAAACGAGAAAGCCTGCATGTAAGAAAAATATTGGGAAGAAGACAGAGCAAAAATAACAACAGACAAAGACAAAGTCTATTAAGAAGACATTGAAGTAAGAAAGTAGCATAGAAAGGGATTACGGCAAGAAAAATATTTATAGGCATAGGATCCATAAGGACAGGTAAATAGAAAGAATTAGAAAAAGACAAAACAAGACAGAAAGACACATAAAAGTAGTTAGAGACTACAAAGAGAAGGCATAGCAGAAAGAATGAAGAATAAAAATTACAAATAAAAGCTAATTAAATATTGCTTTAATGTCAATATTCCCAAGAATATTTTTCCACGTTTATAATTTTCGTTTCAAATTTATTCGAACAGTTGTAATTCGATCGTTATAAGTTTTTCTGCGAGAAAAGAAAACCGTTTAATAATATTTTTAATCCACTCTCCACAGGAAATAATAAAATAGGACAGGAAAAAAACCCGATATATTTCAAGAAATGTTTTTATGCGTTGCTCCAGATATAAAAATAGGTTTTTCGTGATTAGGTATAAATATTGGGATATATCGGCTTTTCTAATCCTATAAAGATCCGAGGATTAAAAACATTGAATTCCTACTAATTCCCTCACTCTCTTTCTCTCTCCTTAAATTTTTCTCTCTTACATTCTCTCATTTCCTCAACTACTACCCCTTTGTTTGTGTCTGCTTTCTCCGATAGTTCCTTTGCAATCACATACTTCCAATCATTCTCTATCACTCTGTCTCTTTCTTTCTCTCGCCTTCCTTCTTCCACTTCTTACTTTACCATCTATCTCTTCCTTCCTCTCACGCTCTCTTTCTTTCTGCTATGCCTTCCTCCCTTTTTCCCTCCTCTCCATCTATTATCCTTGCTCTCTCTCTCTTTCTCAATCTCTCCCTCTCTTTCATTTCTCTCTTTTTTATACTGTCTCATTTCTTCAATTTCTCACTCTTCGTTTGTGTTTGTCTTTCTTCCTATTGTTTCTTCCAATCACTGTCTTTATCATTCAATCTCATTCTTGCCCCCTCCCGTGCTCTCTTTGTTTTGCTATTCCCTCTTTCCATCCTTTCTCTCTCTCTCTCTCTTCCTTCTTTAATCTCGCTCTCTTTTCTTCATCGTTCTCGTTAATTGTAAGAGAGTATATTCGCGATCTAAATTTTGCGAAATTTTTTAACTAAACGCCTTCAAATTGAACCATCGGAAAGTGAGGAATGGCGAGTCCTAGCGAGACTAGACGGACCTGACAAACCGCCTGTTTCTCTCTGTCTGTCTGTCTCTCTCTCTCTCTCTCTCTCTCTCTCTCTCTCACTCACTCTCTCTCTCTCTCTTATTTGTCTTATTTTTGAGCATTTGGTTATGTCACAACGGTAAATTTCCCCAAGTACTCTTATGTTAATATCTTCTCGTCCACGTGCTACATAACATTACAAACTGATTTTAACCAGGTGCATTCCTCACCTTGATTTATGCGGACAAATCGAGCAATGGTTTACATTTGAATTTTAAAGTTTTTCCATTCTACCTGCGAGTTGGGGAGGTTGTGACAACCAACCCCCATCCCCCTTTTGCTTCTTAATATTTAAATATTCAAGATTGATCTCGTTAGGACCATGTTACCCCTTGCACATTTTAATATTTTAAAGGCATCCACGTGCTAGGTAACATTAAACATGTAAGAAGAATATACATTAGGGCTTCAGGCGAAGTCGATTTAGAAAAATAAGCAAAACGGGCAGTAAAGAATTTTTGTGTGCATTTTAAATGGCATTTCATGGTAGTTTTAAAATAAAATTGATTCACTGGTATGAAAGGTAATCTGGTCGGGTCAGTCTTCGCGGTTTTTCTCGAACCATTACAGTCACCTCGAGTGACGGAAATTATGTTGGATGGGGC